CGTGAGGATGTGGATGTGCCTTTGATTCTAGGTAGACCATTTCTTGACACCGCCAAGGCACTTATTGATGTGCATGATGGTAAACTGATCCTGCGTGCTGGGAATGAACAGGCTACTTTTTCTGTGACTGAATTTGATCACTGTGCTATGATTGCTGTCACACCTGTGCATGCCATTTCTGATCAGGTACACGAGCCTGTCGTGTATCCTTCTGCACCTCTTATTTTGCAGGACCCTCCTATCATTCCTTCGCCGCCACTCCATCCAGTCTCGCCTCCGAACAAAAAGATCAAGGAGGAGTGGCGGCCGAAGCAGCAGGTTGCTAAGCCTGTTCGGAAGAAGGGTGGAGACTACTATGATCTGGTCCCACCTCCTGCACCACGACCACCCTGGCCGTCCGGGTACTCACTCGCCTGCATCTTACCGGATGGCCAGGTCAAGCTGACCGATGATGGTGGTCGCATCCGTCGGGTGCATGGCCACAACCTGAAGCTGTACCTCAAGAGCGACGTGGATCCGCTCTTGGAGGCACCTGTTCCTTCACCTCCCTAAGTATCCACCATGGGCGTCCACCTAAAAGACGGTAAAGAAGCGCTTGTGGGGAGGCAACCCCACCATGGTTTGATTTTCTTTCTTGTGTTCTGAGTCGGATTGTAAACCAGTTTGGTTTTGGTTTGTTTTCTTTTGTTTTGGATGATGTCTTATTGGGCTGACATTGGACCTAACATATTGTGCTTGAGCTCTTTGGTTTCCTTTGGCTGTGCTTGTCTTGACTGGTCCTCTCTCCAGTCCGCTCTCTCCGACTGGTCCGCTTCCAGTCTCCTACAGTCCGTGTATACTGGTAACATCGTTCCCCTTTTCCTTCCCTCTTCTCCATTGAGGGCAATGTCGATCTTAAGTGTGGGGGGATGTTTATCTTTTGACTGCATTAGATCTGTTTGTGTGCTTGGAGCCTAGTCCACTGTCCAAATTTTTAAATTTGAGGGCTCCAAGTACGTGTTCCATGCAATTGCCTGCTCAGTATGCTTTGAATTGACAGTCTTTATAGTAATATGCAACCTAGGGAGGTAGTGTAGCACTATGGAGGATGTTGATGCATTTAAGAAGTCTCATTTCTTCTTCATATTGTGTTAGTTGATTGAGTGAATTAGTGATCTTAGGACCCTTGAATTGTGTGGTGTTGTGGACTCTCTACCTGTCATGGACTCTTGTTTCTTGTTTTGAGTTTAACAGGTGCTCGAAAATGTGCTTCAAAATAACGTCTCCCGTGCGAATAGGGCGAAAGTGTGTAAGGGGAGACGGGAATCCGTTCCCAATTTCCACCTACTACCTCCAGCCCCCTTACATGTCTTTCCCCCGCACGAGGCTCGAGACATCCGCTCCTGGCATGGCCGGTAAGAGCCGGTTGGGACCCTTGAAAAAAGAAAAAAAAAGAAAAAGAAAAAAATAACAGAAAACAAGCAAAACAGAAAGAAAAGGGGTTCCAACCATCTTCAAGAAGAAAATAGAGCACCTTGAAAAATGTGAGTCCATGATCCTTTGTTTTTGAGAATCTCTTCATCCACAATTCATTTGTCCTCTGTTCACTATTTGCCATGATGCCGACTCGATACTAGTGCTCTCGCCGAAGAAGCTATGAGATGACTTGTGCGTCGGTTGACCTCGTAAGTTGCTAAATGATCTAGGAAGTCCTCTACCTACGATCTGGTTTGTTAGTTGCTATAGAGGTCTGGAGAGTTGCATTGGTTTGAGTTAGGTTTGCTTGGGGACAAGCAAACGGTTAAGTGTGGGGGAATTTGATAACGATGTAGTTGCACGTATTTGCGCCCCTAGTTCTTATCCGTTTGAGGGGCATAGTCGTGTGTTTTTTGCCTATTTTATGTCGGGTTGTGCTATTTTGTCATGTTTCAGGTCCCAGGTGTAAAAGGGAAGGCTAAGCACGAGTTTCGGGGCATTCGGAAGTCATTTCGGTGAAGCTGAGCCAAAACACGGGCACACCTAAAGCATTACACGGCCGTGTTCTGTGGCCGTGCTTTTACTGCCGAGAGCTAATTCGAGTTTGGCAAAAATGAGCTGATTACACGGGCTGGAAGCATGGCCGTGTTCTTCCCAAAGCACGGTCGTGTTCTCTCCAAAGCACGGCCGTGTTTCTCCCAACACATGGCCGTGTAATTAACACTAGCCAAAGCACGGGCGGGCTGAGGCAAAGCACGGCCGTGCCCTCGATCGTGCTTTGGTCAATGATGCCTTTTTAAGCAGATTTTCAGCCAAAGAGAAGGGGATTTGAGTTTTGAGAGAGATAGAGCGATTCTTAGAGAGAGAAAGCGACGAACAAGAGTCTCCAAGGGCCCTAGATTGATCTTCAACACCATTGGAGGCCAGTTTGAGCTTGGAGAAGTGCCGATCAACGTCCAGGAGCAGGAATCCATCCTTCACAGTATGAATTCCGCGTCTGATTCTGCTTTTGCTTCTTTCTCCATGGAGTAGTTCTCCCATTCATCTGGGTATGGAGAACCCTAGATTTGTATGTTAGGTTTGATTGTATGAACCCAAGTACTGATTGTATGATTTGATTATATTCGATTGAGGTTTGAATGATTGAATGACTTGAATCCTGATCAAATTCCTGTTGTTTCTGCTTTAACCTAGAATGAGAATATCTGCCTAGGTTGATAGAGCATCCTTGATTGAAGGTAGGGAGTTGGTGACTTTAGTCGAGGAGCCAACTCACTATTCTGTACCGGATTCACTTCGGTAGTGGAGGTTTTGGTCATAGGGCCTCAATCTGTTTACTCCGGTGGAGACTTCAGGCTGTTTAAGAACCTTCCGCAGTATAACTATCATAGAAACTCAACTTGGTAATTACAATCCGGCTTAACTGCAGTCTAGGGGGAACCATATCCGGGTGACCTCTCTTAACCTGAATACAACAGTTTACTTGCTTTGTTAGTTTGTTAGTTTAGACTTGCATTCCAGTTTCATTGCTAGATAACAAGAATTCACCGAGTAGTCATCAAATCTAGGACCCGGGTTGACATTTAAACCTAAACCCGCTATACTACGCTTTAGGAAGTGGTTTCACTTGGCCAATTCCTGGAGTGATAGTAGAAGTGAGTCACTCAGAGATGGATACAAAGACATTCGAAGGAATCAAGGAAGCTCATGAACCTGAGGGCAAGGAAGTTCATGAACCTAAGGCACCTCCTCATATTCAGAAGAGGCATCCCCCTTCCCAGATCATGGGGGATATTGGCCAATTTATGGTTACTAGATCTAAAGTATACTCTGAACATACAGCCTTTATATCTCATATCATTCCTCGAAATATAAATGAAGCCTTAGAAGATGAATTCTGGACAGCAGCTATGCATGAGGAAATGCATCAATTTGAACGAACTAAGGTCTGGGATTTAGTACCAAAACCTGAAAATAGAACTATGATTGGAACCAAATGGGTTTACAAAAATAAAACAGATGAGGAAGACTTTATAATAAAAAACAAGGCCAAATTAGTAGCTCAAGGATACAATCAGGAGGAAGGAATTGATTTTGAAGAAACATTTGCTCTTGTAGCTAGATTAGAAGCAATTAGGTTACTGTGTGCTTTTGCCGCATCAAAAGGATTCAAACTGTTTCAAATGGATGTTAAGAGTGCATTCTTGAATGGAGATTTAAAGGAGGAAGTGTATGTATCACAGCCTCCAGGTTTTGAAAATTCTGAACATCCAGCCTATGTATATAAACTTAATAAAGCTCTTTATGGTCTTAAACAAGCTCCTAGAGCTTGGTATGATAAATTAAGTCAATCCTTGATTGATAATGGTTTTCACAGAGGTAATGTTGACAAAACTCTTTTCATAAATAACTCTAGTGGGCATACTCTTTTAGTCCAGGTCTATGTAGATGACATTATTTTTGGGTCTACTTGTCCAAAACTATTCTCTGAATTTGAAAGTAACATGAAGGGGGCTTCTGAAATGATTTTGATGGGAGAACTAAATCTCTTTCTTGGTCTCCAAGTCAAACAAACCAATTCTGGAACCTTTATAAATCAGAGCAAGTATCTAAAAAATATGCTGAAACGTTTCAATTTTGGGAACCTTAAGGCCTGCTCAACCCCTATGGGGTCCTCTCTTAAGCTTTCCAAAGATGAATCAGGGAAAAGCATAGACAATAAACTCTATAGAGGAATGATTGGGTCTCTTCTATACCTAACTGCCAGTAGACCATATATAATGTACAGTGTATGTGTTTGTGCAAGATTTCAAAGCAATCCAAAAGAAATTCACTTGTCTGCAGTTAAAAGGATCTTTCGATATTTGTTTGGGTCACCTGACTTAGGACTCTGGTATTCTCAAAGATCTAATCTAGAACTCGTTAGCTATACAGACTCAGATTATGCAGGGTGTTCAGTTGATCGTAGAAGTACATCTGGAGCTTGTCATTTCATAGGATCTTCCTTAGTGTCTTGGTCAAGCAAAAAACAAATCTCTGTGGCTCTATCAACTGCAGAAGCAGAATATATTGATGCTGGCTTTTGTTGTACTCAGTCACTTTGGTTAAAATATCAACTCCTAGATTATGGAATTTCCCTAGGATCCCTCCCTATGCTGTGTGACAATACAAGTGCCATAAACATGACAAAAAACCCTGTTCGGCACTCTCGAACAAAACAAATTGAATAAGATACCATTTTATACGTGACCTAGTTCAAGATGGGAAGATTCATTTAGAATTTGTCCGGGCAGATCTTCAATGGTCTGATATCTTTACTAAACGTCTTTCTTCAGATAAGTTCCTTATGATTAGGCGAGAATTAGGGCTTTTCTCTAGTGCTGATTTGGGTGATATTCTCTGAATATTCTCTTACCCCTTGACACTTGATTTCTTTCCTTCCCAGTGATCACTAATTGATCCCCCTCCAGCTTAGCAATTAGGACGACCTTCCCCTATCTATTCATTTTCTCATATATAAAACCTTCCTCTGCCTCAAGAATCTTCACTCAACATTATTCCTTTCGATTTCACTCATTACCTCTTCATCATGGTGGTCAATAATGCTCAACTCCATCTTGCCACTACCTTCTCCAACAAGGTTTTCCGAAAGGATAAGGAATTTGCTAGATACGTGCGTCGCTTTCGTGACCGCGCTATGTATCCCTCATTTACCATTCAGCCTTCTGCCTTCTCCAAATTTGACATGGATATTAGTCAACTCATTCACAATCTTGGGTGGGGGTCACTGTTTGAGCATCAACGTTACACCTACTGCCTAGAGGCTGTTTGTCTGTTTTACGTCAATCTCAAGCGTGGGTCTGGACCTGATCTCTATTCCTTCAAGACCACAATTGGGAATCTTGAGATCACGGTAACGACTGATCTACTTGCTAGCGAGCTAGGGCTACCTCACGAAGGTCTCAAAGCGGGTGATGATGGTCAGTTCCATGACTATTGCTTTGATCCTCATTATGCGCTGAACTCTCTAGCTCACGATATTGGTCGTTACTTTCCCAACAAGCTTTCTGCTGGTCGTCTTCCTGATGATCTGCGTGATTTGCACTTCTTTATCATTCGGATTCTCCTTACCCGATCCCTTTCCAGTGCAACTCTACGGCACAATTCCAATCTCTAGATCCTCAGCCATGCTCGCTCTAGACAGCACATTAGCTATGCATCCTTAGTCTTCTGCCATCTTGTCAAATACGGGGATGATAACTATGATGGTTGGTTGCCATTGGCACCCCTCATTACTCGACTGTTGCACTAGTTGGGAGTTGATCTTCGGGACAAGGTCACCCTGTGCAATGTTCATGATGATCTCAAAGCACAACATGTTCTGGCTCGCCTTGATGCGAGTGTCAGCCCCGCAAAGCCTGTCCCTGGCTCAGGGGGAGAGGCTGCTACTCTTGTCAAAGCCCTTGTGTCTGCTGCCGAGGTGGTTATTGATCGTGAGTTAAATGGGTTGTCAAATGAAAATCTAAAGGGAAAGCGTAAGATGTATCTGTCTGATTTATCCTCTATGTCCACTCGTCTGAAACACATCAGAGATGGAGGGGGAGTTAGTTTCTCCAGAGCTATGGAAGAAGATGAAGCTGTTGAAGAACCTGTCGAAGACAATGTCTCTGACTATGATTCTCCCCCAGACTATCCCTTCTAGGTTACTACTCTGCCTTAGAAGTTAGAGTTTAGGTCTAAGTCACCTAAAACTAAAAGCAGCCCTAGCTGCTCACTGTATGCTTTTGGAATTCTCTAATGAATAAAATGGTTGGTTGAAGGAATGACTTTGCTTGCTTATATGTTATAGAACATGCTGCACAACCTATTTGTTGAATAGATGTAGATGGATACCATTGAGCACCAGTCAAGGAGCCACTAACAAGCTTAGGGGGAGCATGTTGAAGGAAGCTAAGTCAATGGCTCTAATCAATCAGGGAAAGCAGGGAAACGTTCAAGCCATTGTATGGAAAGAATTCGAAAACAAGGAGACTTACCTTGTGAATCCAAGCTAAAGAAGGAAAGTCTCTAAAAGAGACGTTGAAGGATGAGTATAAGAGGGGCCCAATCAGAAAGGCAACGGCAACCTTTTTCAATCATTCAAAAGTAGAGAGATGGGATTGTAGCCATAGGCTTTTGTGAGAAAAAGAGAGCATAGGGTTTTGCTTGTGAACTAGCCAGGGGTTTGGGAACTGGGGTTTGTGACCAAACACATTGATTGGTTCGGGTAGTCAGCTGTAGGCTGGGTGTGAGTGTTGCTGTATTATGAACTTCAAAGAAAAAGATCATCAGTGAAACGTTGAAGATCTCAAATCCAGATACTTCAACCGTGGATTAGTCAGCGTACGAATTCTCATTCTCCCTACGTTGGATACCACGTAAAAACTGCTCTGTGTTCTTTATTGCGTTTGTTATTTCTGACTAATCTTGGTTTGCTTCTGTTAGCACTCTGTTCTGTAGCTTTTTCAGGTACAGCAGGTCAGCAGAACGAGAGGAAGAAGAAGAGAAACCTGATTCAGTGATAGTTGAATTGAAGGGCCTAAAACGCAGGCCTGGTCTAGAATTGAAAATTTGGACTCAGACTGCTAATCTAGTAATTGGGCCCAGCTTCGAATTAAAACATCTCGGCCCTACTCACTCTAACTTTGTTTGCTTTCAGTTTGTTTTGTACAAGAATTGAGATTGCTCTTCGCTGTTTCGTTCAATCAAAATTCCCCAAATTCTCTGATTTAGGGTTTCAGGTGTGAACCAGATACAAATCAAGAAAAAGAGAATCTGGTCTCGCGCTCGACCTCTCACCAACAGTCCATGGATTAAACCAAGTCAACCATCCATACACTACTTGACTTCCCTCTTTTAGGGGGACGACTCTTTTTTTGTTGGTTTTGAATTTTCCAACTTAACAATGGATGGTACCCGCTCAACATGTCTTGCCTTGATGGGCTTGCAAGGGGTCCCCTGATCCTCTACCTTAGCCACCTTACTTGACATGTTGTGTTGATTTTGAACCTGATATGTTTGCCTCATCCCAAGTGGTACATTAGGCATTCTCAACTCCTTGGCCTCATCAAAGGGGCCACGAGTTTTTATTTGCCCTGGTTTCTCCCAACCAGGCTTACTCTTCCCATATAGTCGAGAAAATGAGTGGTTGGACTCAATGAGTCGATGGTCATTCTTATGGCCAACCTGACCTTGTTCAACCCTCACACCTTGCTGACTTCTACACGTAGCACATAGCAATCTCTGATTCTTTGTAGGACCATGTCTAGTTATTGTATGTCGGGATGTCTTGTTCATGCCCCCTTGCCTACCATTCATGTTTGGCATTCCATGAGGGTTGTTAAGCATGGACTTTCTTCTTTGTCCATCCCTTAATTCACTCTCATACTTACAAATTTTTTGAGTGGCTTGGGTGGGTTGCACACTCTTGGAATTGCCCCTCACGCATTTCTTCACATTTGATGACATGCCCCCTTGTCCACTACGTGGATCTGGAGACATGCCCCCATGCCATTACTCATGGTTACTGACATGCCCCCCTTGCCACACTTGGCTAAACCACCATTCCTGCTGGAAACACATGTGGCTTGGGCTGTTGTGGCTTATTGGGCATAACTGTCAACCTACTGCTTGTGATAGATGACATGCCCCCCATTTCATCCTTAGCTACACTATCATGCTTACTACAAGCACGTGTGGCTTGAGTTTGTTGTGGTTTCTTGGGCACGTCTACCTGTCTATTGTTTGTGGTTGGTGACATGCCCCCTTTTCGACCATTCATGGGTGGCATGCTACAATGGGCCTTGCCTCCTTGTCCACTCTTTGACACGTTGTCAAAGTTATGGAAATCATGGGTGGCATGGGTATCCAACACCCGCTTAGACTTGTCACTCACTCCATTCATCATGTTTGATGACATACCCCCCCTGTCCACTGCATGGAGATGGAGACATGCCCCCCTCGCCACACTTAGCTACATTAGCATTCTTACTAGAAACACATGTGGCTTGGGCTTGTTGTGGCTTATTGGGCACAAATGTCAACCCGCTGCTTGTGGTTGATAACATATGCCCCACGTGCCATCATTGGAAAACAAATATGGTGTTCTGTTGAACACACCCTTTTGTTCAATTTTCTTGACGTCAACTTGCCCCCCAGCCTGACACTTCACCTTCAACTTGTCAGGTGGTAGGATTCCATATCCTCCTTCCTGTCCCCTAGGCAGTTTGCATCCACCATACCCATTAAGTAGGGGTGGCAATGAAGGTGGGCAAGTTTGTGATGGTAGTTGATCCAAATTGACTGGATCTCCACTACCCTTCCCATTATGAGGTGTCATACATGATCTTGACACCAAGAAATTTTCTTGTGTAACTACCTGCACAAGCGGTTGCTCCACGTGGGTGAGATTCTTTCCATAACCACCACTTTGAAGAGGTGGTTCACCTTTCACCGGAGATGATGAGTTCTCTGACGGCTGAGTAGTCCGACCACCCGATTCTAGAACATTCGTATCCCTAGTAGCAACGCTTGATGGTGGATCTGTAACATCCCATTTCGGCTAAACCCGTATTTCGGTCGCTAGAATATTTCACGATTTAAAATCGAGGTTTTAATAGTATTTCGACGAAAATTGGAATATCGATCGATCGGATAAATATCAATTATTATATCTTATGTAAAGATATATGTGAATTACTGTGTAAACATATATGTATCCATTTACACGTGTGTTCTGTAGAAAAAATGAATTAAGACAAAATTAAAAGTCATGGACAGGAAAAGCAAAAGCGGCCGAACCACTTTGCTCATATATATATATATATGGTGGCTTCTATGGTACCTTGGGTAAAATGTAGGGTACGACATACCCTGAGTAAGAAAATACTATCTAGACCTCGAATTAACCAGATTTTTGGGCATGCTACTATACCCTAACCCTTGATGAGTGAACCCTAGGTCTTAGTTTTCTAAATCAAAGAGCATAATCCCTAAGATTGTGCTTGTAATTTGTTGCATATATTTCGACAAATCATAGCCGTTGATTTTTGTTTCTAATCAAATTGATCTTAATGTATGAGATTTATTGAACTAAGACCTAGATTTTAATCCTTAAGGGTTTGGGAATAATATCATACGCCAAACTATGCTTAATTCGAGGTCTATATATCATTTTCTTACTCAATGTATATCGTACCCTTGATTTTACCCAAAGTACGATAGAACCACCCATATATATATATATATATATGGTGGCTTCTATGGTACCCCGGGTGAAATCCGGGATGACGCATACCTCGAGTATGGAAACTCTATCTAGACCTCGAATTACCAGGATTTTTGTGTATGATATTATACCCTAACCCTTAATGAGTGAACCCTAGGTCATAATTATCTAAATCATAATCTATAAACCCTAAGATGGTGCATTCCTTTTTGTGCCTATATTTGGATGAATCATAACCGTCGATTATTATTTCTAATTAAATTGATCTTGGAGTATAAGATTGGGAGAGTTAACACCTAGATTTTGATCTTTAAGTGTTAGAGTATAGTATCATGTCCGAAAGATCGGTCAATTCAAGGTCTAGATAGTGTTTTCATACTCAAGGTATGCGGTACCTAGGATTTCACCCAGGGTACCATAGAACTCGCCATATATATATATATATATATATATGGTGACTACTTCGGTGCACTCACAAAAATGAGTGCGTTCAATGCACCCAACTCAAAAACTAGTCTTAAGGTGTCGAATTTGAATTTGTAGATTAGTGTAATATGATTATATAACATAAGATAACAACTAATTAGCGGATTACCCTAAGCCCTAGACCTCCAATTTTGAGTTCTATCCCTAAACCCCAAATTGTAAACTCTAACCCTAACCCTAAATCTCTAAACTCTAAATCCTTCAAATTAAAGTAAATCTTTGGTGGTTTTTGTGCAAATTCATGTGCGTTATTGTTCATCACATCATAAGTGATGATTGACATCATTTTGACATGAATCGCATGTTTAAAATGACGGTTATGAAGTGAGTGCACTGAATGCACCCAAAAAAGTGGGTGCACCGAATACGTCACCATATATATATATTGTAAACTCCACCCTCCTGTCCAAATCCAATTCTTCTTCTTTCTTTTCCGCCCAAGAGGAACCGAGAAGCACAGGGCGCGCAGGGGAGAGAGAGCAGGAAATTCTCCGAGCTCGATTCTTGAGCTTTAGCAATCCAAAAATCCCGTAAGTAATGCCTAATTCATCTATGCATCGTGATTTATCGATTTAGAGCTTTAAAACGAGTTTTTAGTTCATGAATTTCTTGAATTCCCGATAAGCCAAATTAGGGTTTCCGAGTATCCAGAAGCCGGATTGAGCCCAAATTTCATATACGAGCTTCCTGCAGCGAGGTATCAATCCTCTAATTCCAATCCCTGAATTTCGGCAATTATTTAGGCCGGGGTCCAAATCGTTGAATTTAGCTCCGACCAGGGTTTGATGTGTTTTTATCAAGAATTTGACCCGGAGCCTAGAACTAATATTGACGGGGATACTGCAGGGAATATTAGGACGGTCTCGGATTTTAATTCGGGGTTCGTTCGTGAAATTGACGTTTTAGTACGGGAGGCTAGAACCGGTGTTTGAATGACCAGAACTGGTGAGGGATTAGCACGGCATACCGGGTTTGTCGTATCACGATAACTATATTGATGCTTAGAATTGACCTAGGTGAACTAGAATGACATGATTAAGGGTGTATGAACTTTTGTGCTATAT